CGATAATCAAATCATGAATAAGGAACAAGAACGCTATCAAATAAAGTCGACAAGACAGATCAAATATGATTTTATAGCATAAGCGTCAGGAACCGAACTCTACAGAGATATATAGAAGGACTATATTGTGTGTGAAGCATTAAAAATCACAAGAAGAAATTTCATATTTCCCATCAATAAGAAGAGAAGAAGAAAGAAACGTATAGTGTTGACAACAACCAACATGTAGAAATAGCTTACTCACGAACAATGTTTCAGATCAAGAAAAGTTCAAATTTCCTTTCTGTAACTGAGATGGTCGACTGTTTCAATTATGGCTGCGGAAAGAATTTGCTTCTTGCTCATGGTGATTATTAATCGGTTGGCTACCACAGGTATATCCAAGCTTCTCCCTTCTGTCTCCGGGCCCATTTCTCTGACATCAGCTATAGTTGCCTCTGTTGCTTGAATATCACTCCATTCACCATCTCCAATGCTTGCTCTAGAAACGCTTAAACATGCTTTGTCCACATTCTCATCTGACGGATCCACGTGCTTTGTCAGTGGCTGAGTGTTACCCGTGTCTGAACATGACTCGGCCTCAAAACTTGCTTCGTATCAATCTGCTGCCTGTTAAATGGAAAATCTTTGATTTAAATTTGTTCATCCTCAAACACTGACCTAACAAGTAAACGCACTTTCAAAACTAGAAATGTCATCACTGATTCAAATGGAGTGCAGAAAAGAGTGAAATGGAGGGTAAGGAGGGTCGAGGATTTGTAGAAAAGTACTAAATTATTGAGAAACCATACCATGCTTCAACATGAAGGAGGTAAATTCACATTTCAATAGGATGGTATGATATTTCAATCATATAATTGCAACAGGGATTATTCCTTTTGGTCTATCCTCCATTGGGGCAGTCAAACCGATAACAAAAAGGGGACTACAATATCTCATGAACTTACTCTACGTTGCATAGCTAGGCAAAATTCTACTTGTACTGCATGCATTATTGACAAAAGGTCCACAATCCTAGAAAATTATTAGATACTCCCTGAGTATCATGTGGCATTGTCTACATGTTACTCCCGGCCAAAAAGAAACAACACACACTAAGTGGACCATCCTTTATCTCTTAGTTACCTAATAAAGGTAAGTCAACATGTCCCACCAGATCTCATCTCGCATCTCCCTCCGTAACCAAAATTTTAGATGAATATATATGAACTTACCAATTTGAGGTGTATTATGAGCTTATTTTTGTAGGATTTGTTGAATACTTTGTGCCTACCAAAAATCATATTAATCGGATATCAATAACTATATGATCGATAATCAAAAAAATAAACAATAAGTTTTCTTTTGAGAAATAACATAAAAAAATATGTACTTCGATCATATAGTTATTGATATCCGATTAATATGATTTTTGGTTCGGATCCTAAAAATAACCCATAATACACCTCAAATTGAGGCACAACCCTTAATTCGAGTTTTTTCCTCGTAAACTGCATCCCAAAGTATACCATGTAATCAAAGCACACAACACATGTATTCACTTCAAATATTGGAACAGGTGAGACCATAAACCTTTGAAGTTGTGCTTGTAACATGTTCACATATGCAAGAAGCTCTTGCTTCTCCTTTAAAGCTGCTGCCTCTTTTTGTGTAGCTTCCTTTACTCTAGCTTCAGCATCTGCCTCTGCAACCCTGACTTTTTCCTCGGCCCTAACAACAGCTCCTTCTAGTATCACAACACGCTCTCTAGCTTTTGCAAGCTCAGAACGCCATAAATGCGCTTCCTGAAGAGCAGAATCTCTCTGCTTAATAAGTTGATCTCTTTCTTTACTTAGAACTGTAACCTTTTCTCAGATTCTCTTAGCTACAAAGAAATCCACAACATTAAATTAATAAAAACATCAACAAAATAAAAAACCATGACTGCGTACATTAATATGATTAAACAAGAAATCATCACAAAAGACCAGAAATTTATTGCTAAAAGACCAGAATTTATTGGCACCTTCAACTTGGATGACTCTAACCGTTTTCTGAATCTTTTGTTACGCGCTCAATCTCCACACAAGCAACTCTCCTTTGTTCATCCATGGTATGAGCGGCAGATGCTGCAGCCTCAGCAGCTTCAGCAGTTTCAGTTAGTTTATCAGCAATCTCTTTGATTGTTGAATCCCGAGAACGAAGGTCCCTCGCTAAATGTTGTAGCTCTTCATCCTTGACTCGTAGTGTCTCCTGCAAAATGAATAATCACATCATATATATCATCTATATACAAATAAAAGTGTTTGCCCCAAACTTTTGTCTTTCTCTTACATGGCGCTTACATGGAACTCAATAGTCTCTTATATTTTTAATGAGGTTGCAAGGGCAATTAACCTTGACCCAATCTCTTTTATTAACCTGAGGATATTGATATTTCTATTATAAAGAATTTATTTTTGTTGGATAATGCAAGAAATCCTATATATCTATCTATTATAACCCAGAAACACTCTATAAGTCCATTATCAACTTAAAACTCTTACTAAAAAAGGGAATAGAAAGGGGGGTGCAGCAGGAAGAAAAGGAATTCGATAAGCATAAACTGGTTCTTCCCAACTGCAAGCTCTCCTTAAAAGCACCAAAAACTCAACCGTAGACAGGCATATTCTACCTCACTTGGTGCTGTCTTCCCAAAAAAACAAAAAACAAAAAAGAGAAGAAAATTAAGTAGTTTCCATTCTTTCAATTAACAGCAGGCAAGGGCTATATTTTATCAGGAGACCCCAAGGAATCACGCATACTAGAAAAGTCTTGTATTCCTTGTGGCATATGAGTGTCGCTACTCGGTAGTTCCTTCACCTCTAATATAAAATATATAAATGGGAAAGTAACATCTACCATCATGATTGTGAGATCATCCATCGGACCATCAGTTGGTCGACTCATCATTGCTCCTAGAGCATTCCTCATGGCAATCTGCATAGCCGCTTCAATTCTTTAGAAGCTTCCAGGGCTGTCGAATTGGCAGCAGCAACTACAGTAGCAACTGTTCCTAGCTTTGCAGAACCATTCCCGCTTAAAGAATTCACAGCCTCTTTATGTGCCTTTAGAACCAACTGTGTTGCACTGATTTTTCAATTAAAGTAATGAATCGTAAGTCAAAAAAAAGAAAAAACAAACAAACAAACACAATAATTACATATAAAGGGAGTTTTATAGTTGATTAAGAGAGAAGACTTTAATACATATGAAAGCAACATCAAAAAGTCAAATAACATCTGAGAAGATCATTGATAATAGGTAGGATTGTATTCTGTTTGCAAAAAATTCAACTTAATTTAGCTCCTTCACCATTCACATAAGCGTTTTAGGAAGGGCCTCGAACCAGCATTTTTATGAGAAAGAGACAAATGTATAACACACACTGCACACCAACAACATAAGATGTGAACCTGAATGGGAAAGACAACTTCACATGTTCATCAGCCTCATTTATATACTAACATAAAAACAAAATACAGAAACTTTAGAATAAAACATGTAAAATTTAGTTGTTTTAGTTATTAAAACACGAAACTGTAATACTGGAAGTGACATCTCACCCCATATATTGAACAGACAAACAGTACGTAAAGATTTTTAGTTAAAAAAGGCATGTTTCAGATAATAAATGGAGAGTGTCAGGAAAAAGGATTAAATGGTAATTTCATTAACTTTTCCATTTTCTAATCAGATCATGCTCACCAAAATAAACAAATAAACTCAGTGGCGAATTCCCTATATACTACAAACATTCGTAAATATACAAATGTTTCCATGTATAGTGTCAAATGAAATGCCTAGTCCCTGCTAGATAGGACTACATTCTAAATGCAAGACATAGAAACACAGTGTCAAATAAAGACATGCACAAAATAAAAAAACCATTGGAAAAAAAATAACCAAGTTCATCTCTTTTTATAGGTAAAGAATAACCAAGTTCATCACTCAATCAAATTAGAGCAACAATTTATTGAAGCACTTTACACAGGGAAAGTCTCCAATAACTTACTGTAAAGTTGATACCCAAGCTCTAGCTGCACCAGGAGTTTCTGCACAGAGGAAATATCTTTTTTCTGTGGTGTCCCAATATCTAAGCAGCATAGTTAAGAATCATGCAATTATTAGCATTTCCAAATCCAGCAATATTTCCAAAGATTTACAATCAAAGTCAACCAAGCAATGCATTCCAAAATTTCACCAATTCAACCCCACTAAAAATGAAAATAATAATGAACATAAAGAAATAAAGGAAAAAAAAAAAAAT